GTGACTGACTCAAAATGACTGAAGGACACTGAAACTGTCATAAAGAAGCAGAACATGGTATCTATGATGCATACCTCTGGTAACTTGAGTTACCAGACAAGTAACAAGACAAATTAAGTCATACATATGGATTTAATTATATCAGAATGATCCAGGCATCAAAATGTAGCCTTTAAAGCCAAGAACTTTAAAGTGTTATTAGGTCATCTTGACCAAATTTGACTTAATCCTCATTTCGATATGATGGGTCACAAATAAAGAAAGAAAAGAGGCATTATTGCAAACTGCAGCTACTAAATAACATTTGACAGATTTGTTTCTTTCTTTTTTGTTAGTAAGGTGACTGACTCAAAAGCAGGACTGTGTGTGTGTGTGTGTGTGTGTGTGTGTGTGTGTGTGTGTGTGTGTGTGTGTGTGTGTGTGTGTGTGTGTGTGTGTGTGTAAATGTGTTGCATTGTGCGTGTTGGGTTTTGTGGGACAGGTGTGCTGTTTTTCCGTGCTATTATAAACCCCTTTTTATAGTTTATAGGGTGATTCATTTTTGGAAAATAAGCTCATATTGTAGCCTAAGCTACACGACCGTGTGACCCGGGTGTTAAAGTGTTAAAAAAGATGTAGTAATTGTTGCTGTTTGGTTGCAGAAATTAGTTTGATGTGTCTTAGTTTTTGAAACTGGACTACAGAACTTGATCAACTAAATAATGGTTCATTTAATTTCATTTTACATTAGACTGTAACTTAGGTGGACCCCCCCCAAAAATTGCTCCTAAAAATTTCCCTGTTTATGACCCCCCCCAATAATGAGATGGGATTTTCGCCCTTGATCCCTTGCTAGGAATAATCACACGAAGTGAATCAAACCCAGAGGCAGGACACTCTTTATTCTTCATCTGTGTCTGAAAGATTTATTTATCAAACATAGATGTTCAGGTGGTTGAGCCATACAATAAATACAGAAAACACTTTGACTTGACAAGTTAAAAATGTGATATCTGTTCATTGTACAGCACATTTTTAATAATCACTACCTCTACAGTAAATACATCCATCTCAATCAGTGATTGCTTAAAGTGCTGTAAATTGCAACACTTTCAATCATTTATATAAACTTTGCTTTTGCAATGAAGGAATCCAACAGAGAAATATTAACATTTTTTTTTATAAAATCCCTTTCACTGGGTGTTTCTTTCAAATATCAGTTTGTTAATTAGATGAAGCTGTAGCACCATGTACACAGTTATAAGGTTGATTCATTTTGAGCCCAAAAAAACCCTTTTCAGTATCAAGATTTTTGTTCAAGGTTTCCAGTAAATCTGATGCCCGATGGCCCACATTTTACATACTGTAAAGGTACCTTCCATCCATTTCCCATCCATACAGAGCTTCTTGTACTGTTTATAKTTTGATCAGTCATGTCTCATCATTTACAGGCAGCTGAAATTCTTGTAGAAGACCACAGAACGTCGTGTTTTACATGTTCCACCCCAATCCAACGTGGGTGGCCAGCAGGTAGCACATGGCAATTATGCATGTCATCACCATCATGGGGAATCCCAACCTGTGAGAAGACAGCAAATGGCTCTTCAGTTGGCAAACAGAATGGGTGAATGGATTATTGCAGCAAAAACAGTATTCATCTAAAGTCCATCTGTAGAAAAAGCACAAGAGAAAGTTACTTTGACAAGAAATGGTAAATGGCTTGAACTTATGTAGTCCCCATGAAGAGGTGGGGCTGTTATGCACCGGCACCACTCTGACCACCACCAGCAGGCAAGGCGGGTGAAGTGTCTTGCTCAAGGACATGATTGTGACGGCTGGAACAGGGGCTGGAACAAGAAATCAGTCATAGTCTGACTCTCCTAGTCATTCTGCCACAGTCGCCCTGCCACAACATATTCCATGATCAACTCTTGACTGGTCTTGTTCTGGGTCTAAATCCCAGGTCATGTTCAGAGGTCAAGACATACTATACAGTCTATGGCAGGGGTGGGCAATCCTGGTCCTTGAGGGCCACTATCTGCATGTTTTACTTGTTTCTCTGCTTAAACCACCTGCTTTGAATGCATAGGTGATGGATATCCCTGCCAAAATGTATGGCTCAATTTATGAGCTGGGTCCTCATGAGCACATAGCTCACTTGGGACATGTCTTTCCCAGTCTGKGTAGGCTGCTTAAAACCGCTGTGAAATGAGACAGTCAAGCCTTTGCTTGACATAAGTTTGCGTGATCACACGCGACCCCTTTACCATAGTCATCAATTTCATATCAGACTGAAAATATGTTGGTTCAGGTGTGATTGGAACCTGGAGATACACTTCAGCCGAACCTCAGATAGAACCTCAGAACAGAACCACAGCAGGCACGCCGCTGGAGAAGGGCGGGTGAGTTTTGCTCCTTCATTTGCCTTCTACCACGCAAAGAATTGTGGAAGATGTCTCTTAATTTCAGAACCATCACCCGAGAGGACAGTTAGTTACAGGATAAAGCTCTGTGTGATTTTTTTAAATGTTTGATGGGGCACTGTTTCCATACTATGTTTCCTCATGGTATTGATTTGTGACAGCATGCCCTCTCTGTTCAAGAAAATTATGAACACATTAGATATTTAGAAACTTTACTTAACTGTAAATTCAGATGAGTTGCTACCCCTGCTTTAAATGATAACAGTAAATAGTAATTGAAAACTTCGATTAGCGCTTCTCAATTTTATAATTAGAAAGCGCAGATCTGCATACAGCTAGAGAAAATTAGTAAAACCCCTAAATCGCAAATGAGAAATTTAGGTCCACAATTAGCACTTTTGCGCTTTAGGGAACTAGTGTCCACCACTGACCAACATAAACTAGAGTACAGRGAAAGCCAAAAAATGAGGACCAAGGCCACAATGTTCACCACACGCAAGAGCAGTTGTCATCTATTAATTGTCATATTAATCACTATTGTCTAAAAGACACAATTAATTGTGATCCTTTTTTTATTGCCAGTTTTGCATAACTCTTATCAGTATGTATTTACTTTATGTGTGTATTCTCATTAAATAAGTCAGGAAACAGTATACTGATGGCTAAACGTTCACTTTGAGGGTAGATCTAGAAACAAAAAGATGACAACTATGACTATATGTTTATGTTCATCTTTTGAATTTAATCAAAGTGGAAAAAGTTAAAACATGTAGTCTGCTCTTTTAGAAAAAGGAGCAGTAAAAAGAAATGTCGACCTTCACAAAAAAGTGTCATTTTAGCCTCTCAGAAACGATGATTTAGTCTTGTTTATGTGCAGTAACTGTACTGAAGTTATCTTTATTACACAATAACATTTGCTGATAGATCTTTTCAGAATTAGCACCTTAAATCTAAAATGTGCCTTTAGACAACTCCAGCACTGCAGATGGTTTCTCATTTGGATGTCTACCATGTCCTATATGAACACATGTCTGCTCTGAGGGCTGGGATCTTTTGCCTCAGGTTCATGACACAGATCAGTTTTGGGGAAAAGGAAGAGCTAATGTGCATGTATGGTTCATGTGCCGTGCTCAAACTATCAAAACGGCAAGAGTCATTTGAAACTGTGGAAGCTGATAAAATACCAGTTAAAGCAGCTAACCTGTGCAACAGTTTGAGGTGGTCATAATAATCAACTCTACAGAATCAGTCAAGTGAAAAAAAAAAAGAAATAAGTATAACATGCAGCATCCACAGAATATGTAATATTGTTTCTATTAGGCTTAATGACAAAATGATGATCAACAGCTATTTAAATAAAAGCATGCTTTTATTCTGATAGGGTAGRTTAAAAACACAATGAAGGCGATGAGCTAAAAGTGGCTGGCCATTTCCACTAATCAACATAAATATAATTTTTTATTCAGTTTGGCTTGCAAATGGATGAAATTTTATGGAGAAATGTGAACAATGCTCATATAGATTTTAGTAAATGTGAAATACTAAATTCACCGATGTGAAATACTAAATTGTCACCGATTCTGTTCATTACTTTCATGGACAGAATTTCTAGACGCAGCCGAGGTGTTGAGGGGATCCATTTTGGTGGCCTTATGGTGCGTTCACACCGAACGCGATTTCAGCGTCAGGAGCAGCAGGTTTACATACAAAGTCTATGGTGGACGCGCTTCAAGCAACGTCGGGAAGTTCTGCAGCGCCTCAAGCGCGATTAGAGCAGCGCGATTTGAACGATTTGAACGATCTGAGCGTTCGACGCTCTTAGGCACAAATCGCTGAAGTTAGAAAGTCTGAACTTTTTCAGCTCGACGCGCCGCATCAACCAATCAGAGAGACTCCACTGTGATGTAG